AAAATTGTGCCCACCCCTAGTGAGCATGTAGTTTAAGTTTAGGGTTAATTTATGTAATAACCAAAAAAAAATATTATAATTGGCAATCTAACCAAAAGCCATAAAATGAGTGGTTATGATTTTGCCATATGAGGTGTTTTTAGTTAGATTGTCAATTATAAATTTTTTTTATGGCTATTGATGCTAATTTTCCTTTAAGTTTACTATATATGTAGATCATGGTATAGATAAATATACAAATGAAATTCTTACTGTTTTATGCATGTACAAAATGAAACCAACTAAATGTATATTTATTCGGCAACCACTCATTCGTTACCTATGAACAAGTTTGTATGGTCAGTCATAGTTTAGATACATTAACAGTAACTTGTAGACATTTACATTTTCACTTGTCACATCGCGTGTACCGACGTGCAACAATTAAGGAGGTGGGCGAAAACGCCTAACAAGGACAGAGAATAATTAGCCAGATCGCCGTCCAATGATGCTTAACCGCGATTTTATTATCCAAACAGTTCAAAGAGAACGACTCTGTAAAAGCCTTCCACAAGTCAACACGTGTCATTGTCATTACTTTTTCTATAGACTTTCCTCTCTGACTCTGATTAATCCTTTTTTAACTTTGTAACAAATATTGTGAATCATCATATTGTAACGTTAAAAAAAATACTAACAAAACTCCTTTAAAACTAGATTTACGAAATTACTTTGGGCTTAAATTTGTTATCAGTCCATGGCCCATAGTTTTGGGCTTTTCAAACTTACCAATAATACGTGGCCACGTCAAATACCTTTGTAGTCTTGATTAATCCGCGTTCTACAGTTTAAATACCCAAATATTGGAAAAAAATTAACATTAAACAGCGACGACTCTTCGTAACCCCTCCAAATCCACGAACCGTCGGATTTCAGGGATCGCCGGAGAAGTTACACTATGGCGACGACGGGTGCTAGAGGAACGACGAAGATTGTGCAGAAGAGGAAACCAGTCTTTGTGAAAGTGGATCAACTGCAACCAGGGACCATTGGTCATAACTTGACTGCGAAAGTCATTGAATCGTACCACGTCACACCAGCTATTCGTAAAGGTGGACGGTCGGTTGGATCCATGATTCAGCCGGTTCGACCTACTCGTATCGTCGAGGCTCTAATCGGTGACGAGACTGGTTGCATTCTATTCACTGCGCGCAATGAGCAAGGTACTGAAACTGATTTTCCCCTAGTCAAAGTAACATGATGCTAGGGATTGTGGTAGTTTTGCCTGATCAGTAGAGAATTAATTAACCTTGGTAGAATAAAGGAATCAGTATCTTAGGTTCTTGTTGATTTGTAAAATTTTAGTTGAAATTGATGAGTTTCAGAGTTGAAATAGAATCAATTTGTGGTTAAGAGGAAGTTGAGTGTTTATATTCAGTGGATAATGATTTCGATTTCGAAAGTCTAGAACTTGGTTTAGGGGTCTTGAGGGCTATGTTTTAAGCATGTTGTTCTAGAAAAAAAAACATACAGAAGAATACTAATGACTTTTTTGGTTGTGGTGCAAAACTGCAAATGCAATTGATTTGATGAAGGCTGGAAAAACAGTTATCCTGAGGAACGCTAAGATCGATCTGTTCAAGGACACGATGAGGGTGGCCGTAGATAAATGGGGACGCGTCGAAGTCACAGAGCCTGCTACATTTCATGTTAAACAAGACAACAATCTCTCCTTGATCGAGTATGAAATGGTCATTGTTCCTGATCGACACTGAATTTAAGTTGGATTTTTTTTTTTTCAGGGAGTTTGATTCTTGATTCATAGTATTAGATTTTCTTATAATAATTTTACACTTGCACAGTTCACATTTGGTTTTCGGATAGTTTTATGATTTTTATCTATTCTGAGCATTAGTGTTGTTGGCAAAATTTATTTGATTACACTCGTTATTATTGGCAATTACAATTACTAGAAAAAGTCTTTTTAATTAAAATAGTGGAAAATATGAAAAAAGGAAAAAAAAAATTAATTATCACCAAACCCAACAATATATTATTAATTCGATGGATGATTATATTCAAATCAACTTACTATAATACGAATAATGAAAATTCTTATTAAGGTTCCATAGGCTCTTAAAAATAAAATTAAAAAGTTATAAAATAACGTGGGCCATGGTACCGGATACTCGACTCGCCGGCGTTTCGATTCTACCAGTTGTGCTTTTCACTTAAAGAAATTAGGGTTTTTTGGAGGAAGAAGAGCAACTGTCTCGATTTTCGCTCATCTTGGTAAATTTTTGTCTCTCTTGTTATTGATTTCACTTCGCACAACCATACATCAACCCTAATTTTGGGTTATCTTCTCTCGTCATCGCAGATTCAGCTACCTGGGAGTCGATGGCTTCTTTGTTCAAGGTACATAAGATTTGTTTCGTGAATGCATTTCTGCGTCTTGCTTTTGATAGTATTGAAACTCTCGATTTGGTTTACGGCAGCTAATTTTTGTGTCTGTGAATGAAACCCAAATCGGCTAATTGATTCATTCGATTTCATGTTTTGGGGGTTTTTTTTTTTTTGGATATCAGGAGCAAGCAAAGCTCTCGGCTTATCGAGATAGAAGATTTTCAGGAACGCAAGAGGAGTTCGATGAGGCGCTAAGGACATCTACTACTGTTTACATTGGCAATGTGTCTTTTTACACAACTGAAGAACAGATTTACGAGCTTTTCTCCAGAGCAGGAGAACTTAAAAAGATAATCATGGGTTTGGATAAGAACACTAAAACTCCCTGTGGTTTTTGTTTCGTCCTGTAAGTTTTTTTTTGTTTTCATGGGTCTTTTAACAATTTTACCTCTAAGTTTCATAGTGATTGTTTGCTGATTTAGCTTTTGTTCTGGGGTGTGTGTTTTGTTATCAGGTTCTACTCGAGAGAGGACACAGAGGATGCAGTCAAATATATCAGTGGAACCATTCTTGATGACCGGCCGATTCGTGTGGATTTTGATTGGGGATTTCAAGAAGGAAGACAATGGGGACGTGGTAGAAGCGGTGGCCAGGTATTCATTCATCAGATGCATCGTCTCTGTAGTTTACTGACGCTTCGTAAACGAATTTACCATGTAATCATGATTTTTCTAATTTCTTATAGGTTCGAGATGAGTACCGTACAGATTACGATCCTGATATCCTTTCAGTCCGCATATGTTGTGCTTTATATTTCCTGTTTGTGTATTCTTATTAAAGACTCAAATCAATTGCATCTGGCTATTAGATTTGATTTCTTCGTTTACATATCCGTGTTTTTCTTTAATTCGTTGATACCTAGAGGTGGTTATGGAAAATTAGTCCAAAAGGAACTCGAAGCACAAAGGCAGCTCGTAGATTACGGTACTGGCTCATTGGGAGCCTATCCTGCACCTGCACCTGCACCGTCGAATTGTATGTTCTTTCAACTTTCTATCAAATCTATATGCTCTTGTTCATGGTTGCTGTGATTTCGCACTTAGCTTTGGTTAACATGTAGCAGCACCATGAATGCGAGTCTTAGGTTACTTAACATAGCATTGTAATGCTCAGAAGAAGACTCTTTTTCTATTGCAAACCATCTTCTTATCCTTTGAATCACTTTGTGATAGATAGTCAAAATGAGAAAACGAATCACAAATCCTAGTGTTAGGACCTAATTCAAGTCCATCGCATGAGAACGCGTAATAGAGTCTGCATAAAATTAACTTCTGTGGAGTAAAGTTATCCTCTTAAATGCAGATGGAAGACGTGGTGGTAGAGGAGGCTATAACCAAGGAGGATCAAATCGCCATGGTCTTGGAGGTATGTGTTTCTTGATGAGCTTAAATTGGGTAGTAATATAATCATCAGCCACAGTAGCTTAATCCAAAATCCATTTACTGAATTTAATGTTTCTGCAGATTACCATCGGAAACGACAGAGAGATGATGATCGTTATGGACGCGATAACTCAAGGAGAAACTCAGATCACGAGTCTAGGAGAGACACTGACCAAGACATGAGACCGGTAATTGACAGAACTTTTTCCCTAATAAACTTGTTGAGGGAATTTAGTATGTTCTTATGTGATGCTGCTACATGTCTTGAATGGAATTTTGTGTGTGATTGTTAAACAGGAGAAGAACCCGCGGTTCCGTGAGAGCGGTGATTCAGACGATGACGGAGAAGATGATCGGAAGAGAAGAGGTTAAAACAAACTTTAGAAGTTGCCCAATGTTGTTGAAGAGACAAATGTAATCTTTAGATTTATGAGTCTGAATCTGAACTCAATTTGGGTTTTCCAGATTTTCATTAGAAGCATTATCAAGTTTGGTTTAATTCAATATATTTGCTTGCTGTCTTGTAACTTTTTCCTTGACGACCCTAAAAAACTCTTTATAAACGAAGATGTCATTACGAAGATTTTGGGCCTAAGTGCCCATTTTCAAGCCCAATACATATTACTTTCTAAGCCCATGTATCTATCTGCTCACTCTAACACTCTTTTTGATCTTGATTATAGATTCCCGATTTGATTTGTACTCGAAAGATTAGAAGTTCACATAAAAAACTAATTTTAGGTGTCGACAAATATAAAAATGTAACTGGACTCATACAAACTTGCTTAACTTCGATACGTGCACTCATATCGAATACATAATATCGACCATTTAGATAATAATAACTCATTTAGAGCAACAAGGAGTTAAATTATTTTCCTTGCAAAAATACTTAAGAAGATACCCCAAAAATTAACAATTGTGATTTCGACGAATTTGGTCTCTCTCAAGGAAGAGGAGGAACATTAGAAATGCCTTGACGTTGTAACTCCGTCATAACGCCGTCAACTGACGGCGGTTTCAGTCCTAAAGGAAGCGGTAGCCACGGCTTTGTTATAACGTCTCCAATAGCGGCGTCTATACTTTCATTCGACTGCACCGTCAAAGTCACACATAATTTTAATCATTAGATAATTATGTTAATCAAATTACACCAAAATTTATATTTGAAAACTTTAAAAATAAAGGTGCACTCACGGGATGAATGTCGATAGGAGGAGTAGTGGTAGGGCCTAATTGTCTTGTGGGAACACCGATGCTTGTTTCTGATTTATTACTATTATACATCGAATGATTCGTTGATGCTATTCCATATCCCTACACATTTATACATACATAAACCTTAATCAAACACTATAAAAATAGTAACAAATCAATCCATGAATCTGTTTGATAATCATCCAAGAACAGTGCATTTCTGATCTTGCATATTTTTATGAACTACTTTATAATTCACGTTTCTACGTTTTGAAAATGTGCGG